CCAGGCTGGCTGGAGGCAATGACATGGGCAGGGCCACTGTGGCCCTGCTTCTACCTCTCGGCTTCCCAGTCTGTATTAAAAATCCATCGTTTGGTGACTGCTACCCAGTGTAGACTGACCTGACTCTGCCGGCCACAAGGGCTGGGGAGAGAAGGCAAAGCCAGAAATCTGCTCTGGAGCAGAGGCCAGTGGACAGAGTGAATAGGGACAGGGGACCTAGTGATAGAGACCTCAAATACCACTGCCAGATCTTTGGGAGGTCTGGACCCCTGGAGCTCTCTGGGGACTGATGATGTTCCTGACTGACACCCGGAAAGTCAGAGTTCTAGGGTACAGCACTGAGAAGGCCTCCCTGGATGGCATCAGCCTGTGGAGAATTCATAATCCCCCTGCCTCTGTCCCACCTGTCCTGTGTGCTCTGACCTGGAGAGACAGGAGAGCCCTTGCTCAGCCCAACTACTATTGGTGTCCAGGTCCCCCCGAGACAGAGCTTCACTGCCTCAGACAGCTGACCCCCAACCCCATGGCCCTTTTGGTAACGCTTTGCTCTCTACCTCTTTCCCTTGTGTATCTCAACCGCACAAATGCGCCAGCTCTTGTTATACTTAACTGTTCCTGCTGTGGTTTGGGGATTTTTTTTAATTAAATAAACATTTTTATTATAAATATAACATCTGTTCGGAGAATTTAGAAAACAACAAGTTACCCACAATCCTCTCTTGCCTGACCCAAGCGATGCTAGATTTTGCTGTATTTTCTTCTAGCATTTTCTTCAGGGAATCTTGCTTTCTTTCTTTTAAAGCTGTGCTATAGCTGGGTGTGATGGAACACACCCGTAAATCCAATACTAGGGGAGACGGAGATGCAAGAGGATCAGAAGTTCAAGGCGAGCCTTGGCTACATTGTGATTCATGAGATCCCATCAAAAAAAAAAAAGTTATGCTTTTTCCATTTTCACTATTTTTTCTTGATTCAAAGGAGTGGGGGAGTCCAGAGAACAGCCGTGTTTTACTGTGTCCTTTTTATTTCATTTAGACCATCTCATTTAATCCCTGATGCTATTTTGAGGTGCAGACAGTCTATTTCCATCTTAGAGAAGAAACAGGCAGTTTGGGGCTAAATAAGTCACCCAAGGTTACCCAGCCATTTTAGTGCCAGAATGGGATTTGAACCAAGTTTGCTGACTCAAGACACCTTGCTTACGTTCTAGTTTTAGCGCTTCATGGAGTTTAAAGACAGGCTTTTCTGCTCCTCCATCCTCATGACTCCAGCGCTGATCGCGTTCCAAGTGGCACCGAGTGACATGTTCTTACTTAACGCTTTACCTTCGCTAGCCTTGTCCTGATGTCACCCTAAGCCCAAACTACAGGATTCCTGGGAAAGGTGTAGCCCTGAGCTTTGTGAATTGGGGTGAAATGGCAGAGGCACCCTTCCCCCACCATCGCAGCTCCCTGGAGGGCGGATTGGTCTGGCCCTTAAAAACAGCAGCTGGACCAGCCAGCCCTCATTTATTCTAGGATTGGACCAAGAATAGAGCTAGCCCAAGCAGTATCTGACCCTGAGACAGAGGCCCGGGCCCTTGGTTGACACTGCTCCTAGCAGAGGTCCTGGGGCTTCTGCTTATGTCGGGGTCCATGGCTCCTTGTCAGTCTTCAGCTCTGGTACTTGTCTGAGACCCACCGGGACACCAGCTAAAAAGTTGGAAGTGAGCTCAGGGGTGTGTCTCCATCCATTGGCTGCTTGTCCCTTTTTCTTATAAAATTTCCCTACATTTTATCTTGGGATAATTACAAGTTTACAATCAAGTTGCAAATATAACTAGCACACAGCATGGTGTGGAAAGCACATCCCTTTAATCTCAGCACTTGAGAGGTAACGCTGTGAGTTCAAGGCCAGCCAGGGTTGAATAGTGAGACCCTGCCTCTAAAAAATAAACAAAACCCTCAAAAACCAAAACAGATATAGTACATAAAGCTTTTGGCTGGGTGGTGGTGGTGGCACATGCCTTTAATCCCAGCACTTGAGAGGCAGAGGCAGATGGATCTCGGTGAGTTTGAGGCCAGCCTGGTCTACAAAGTGACTTCCAGGATAGCAGAGCTGTTACAGGGAGAAACCCTGCCTTGAAAAGCCAAACAAAACCTTTCATTTCTTTTACTTTGTGTCCCCTAGTGGGAATATCTTATACAAGCTTGGTGCTTTTATCATTACCAGGGCCATAACATTACTATAATCCTATCTGGGAAGCCTCGGCTTCACAGGAATTTCCCCAGTGTTCCCACTAATACCCCCTTTGTGTCCCAAGGTTTAGAAATGCCTGCGTCTTATCTGTGACTCCAAAGTCTTTCAAGGAGCTGGCAGTAGAGCCCAAGGGCCCTCCTCCTGCTGCTCTTCTCCCGGATCTCTTCTTTGTCAAAGAGACAGGATTTGCCACCTTGTAAAGTACTCTAGCATCCCAGACACCCTTGCCTCATCCTGCCTGCCCAGCCCTGTCCCAGGGGGTCTGACTCTGCCTACCTCAGATCCCTCCGCTCACGAGGTCATTTACACATGCGCATGCATGCACCCTAAGATGGCCTGCTCCCATGGGTGCTGGGAGAGCCATAACTAGGCAGACTATGCTTGTCCACGGCCGCCCGCTCCAGGTGTGTTTTCCCTCTCAGAGGATAGAAGACATACTTAGAGCGGCTCTGTCTCGGTTTCCTTCCCTGTCTCACCATCCCCTTTCTATCCAGGACTCCCTCACCTGTCTCTGACCACTGCTCTTTTCCCCAGGGCCTTGAGAAAGCTAGCCTTTCTTGTTGCCTTCCCCAGGCACTCTGGGAAGGACTGTACCCTCTTTCAAATGCCTTCTGAGTTTACAAGGGGCTTTCGGTGTTCTATTGCTTCAGTGTGGCTTATGACGAGGCAATTAGGCCCTCCACAACAGACGAGTGTTTTCCCCTTCCCCCACGATAATGGAGGAATGGAACTGCGGTTGTGGCAGCCTTTGCTCTTCCAGGCAGTTAGGCTGTCTGCTGTTTATCTTAGGACGCCTCTGCAGCTCTCCCAGCCTGCCCAGACATGACCTCACCCTCTCCCAAATCATTCCTGGGAGGTAGAATGGAGTCTATGACCAGTGCTGCCTCCACTTCACAGATGGGAAAACTGAGGAACTGAAAGATCCAAACAAGAGTGTTGAGGAGAGAAGAAGAGAGGAAAGGAGAGTAGAGGAAAGGGATGGGATAGGAAGGGAAGGGAAGGGAAGGACAATAGAGAAGAGGAGGGGAGGAGAATAAGAGAAGGTGGAGGAGAGGGAGGGAGGAGAGAGGAGAGGAGAAGAGAAGGGAGGAGAGAAGAGAAGAGGGAGAAGAGGGGAAGGGAAGGAAAAGGAAGAAAGAGCTTTAACAGGCACATCTGCACCCTGGGGCCTGATCTTGCCTCTCTGCCAGTGACTGCAGTTATTTGGAGGTGGCAGGTTTTCAATGGCCTCAAGCAAGCAGTGTTCAAGCGTCTCAAAATACTGTGGGCCACTAGGTGGGTCCCACCTCAGACAGTCTCATCTCCAGGGAGTTTGCACTCAGTCAGCATCAGCATCAGGAGAAAGGCTAGATGACGCATCCTATGGGGCTGAGATCCTGGGAGTGAAGTCCAAGGAGCATAGAAGCTGCTTGTTTGTTTTGTGGTGCTGAGGATTGAACCCAGGCCCTTCCGCGTGCTAGGCAAATTCTCTTCGGCTGAGCTACACCCTCCTATCCCCCGCACCCTCCTATCTCCCGGTTTCACATAGCTCTATAGGCTGTCTTTTGTGTAGCAACAAATGCGATGGCTTTGACATCCTAACTGGAGAATAGGTGGCCTGGCCGCCGTGCTCAGATAGTCCCGCAGCTCTTCCCAATCCATCTTGGCTTCTCAACAACCGGGGAGAAGGCCAGTTGTTATAGACCTAGTCTACAGATGAGGAAATCGAGGCCACCCAGGCACAGAGAAAGCCAGCCAGCAGTGGCTGGATGTCTGGCTTAAACTCCAGGGCTTTGTCAGCACCACCAAGCCACTGTCCCCCAAAGGAGGTACACAGAGCCAGCAGGAGGGAGGAGGAAAGGGCTAGGATGGGGTGAGGAGCCCAGACTTGGCCTGCTTTGTGGATTCCTTCCAGCTGGCCCTGCCTTCCTGTCCTGAGCCGAGGTTAAAGAAGCTCAGAGGAGGAAAGGTCAGGCTGGGAGAGAGGACAGAGCTGGCCAAAACAACCCACACCCTGTTCCCCATGGCTAGGCCCTGCATGCTGGGTAGGAGGGCACCACCCCTGCCCTCTGAGGATGCCGTCTACTGCACAAGCCGTGAAACTATACACGGCAAATGGTTTGAGCAGGGGGAGTTTGATAAAGGTTGCATTGCGGTCTCCAAGCTCTTTCTCATCCCCCCCCCCTCAATCCCTTTCCTTCACCCCCAGTCCTATCTCACCTTGACCATACCAGCCCTGTCCCATCTCTCCTCTGAACCTTGTCAATCACATAATTTGCCGAAACCAGTCCTGCAGCTGACTTTTCAAATGGCTGGGCCCACCGATCCATTCAGATCAGAATCTCCAAGGCAACGTTATGTACCCCGGCCACTTGGAAGTTCAGAACATTTTAACAAAGTCAGAAGTTATTTGGGACCTATTCCTCTCCAGTACTTCTCTAGTTTGTTTATAATAAAAAGCAGGACAGTGGGAACTAACTGCGGAGCCTAGGCTTCCGTAATGTCATCAGACGAGTGACGCCACCGACCCTGGTCGCGGTGGTGTTCAGCACCCTACAGGCAGGATGACATCATCGTCGGAACCCGCGCGGACAAGTGCGTGCTGGGTGAATTAGCTAAGAGCAGGGGAAAATAAGGAGTGAGCGACCAGCCGCTGAAACCCCAGAAAGGCACGGGGAGGGGGAACGGGGGTGGGGGGAGCAGAGGGAGGGTCCTCGGAGCCCCGCCCCCTCGGTAACCGCCGTGAGCTGGCCAATCTGGGCAGGCCGTAGTGACGCGCAGCCTATCAGCAGCCCGGCCTCTCCTGGAGGTTCCGCGTTAGGTTTAGCTCTCCAGGCAGGGGAGGGGGCTTTGGGCTTAGCGACCCACCGCCTCCCAGGTCCCCGCCGCCTGCCTCCGGGGGTCTGGTGGGTCCCGGCTTGCCACCTCCCTGGAGACTTGATGGCCTCGGAAGGCCTGGCGGGGGCGCTGGCCACCGTGCTGGGGGGTAAGGGGTTGCTGGTGCAGAGCTGTGACTCGGAGCCGGCTGGCAAGCCGCTGTCGCCCGTGCGGCTGCGGAAGAATGTCTGCTACGTGGTGCTGGCCGTGTTCCTCAACGAGCAGGTGAGCGTCCGGCCGCCGGCCTTCAGCTGGTCTCGGGAGCGCGCCGTCAGCCCCGGTGGGAACAGGCGAGCCAACGGCCGCTGCCTGTGCGTGGCGCTTCCCAGTGTTGCAAAGCACTCTCACACTAGCCGCTAAGCTGAGGTCGTCCTTATAGACTATAAAACAGAGGAAGAAGCCGAGGCCCCGGGGCGGATTGTGTCATCCTCCCTCCCCCTCGCCTCCTCTAGGAGAGGTCTGCAGTATACCTCCTTCCTTACCAGGAGTCTGGCACCATGTCTGGCTTACTGAAGGGGTTTCCTAGACCCTCCCGGCCCCACCGTTAGTAATGGGGAGCTTACACGTAGGTCTCTGACCCTCTGGGAGTATCTATCTATCTCTGGGAGTATCTATCTATCTATCTATCTATCTATCTATCTATCTATCTATCTATGTATCATCTATCTATTTATCATCTATGATCTATCTATCATCTGTCTGTCTGTCTGTCTGTCTGTCTATCTATCTATCTATGAACCCCTCTGTACAAGTCGATGTGAAAACATCTGGCTAAATAGGGATAGGTAGTATGGGGGAAGAGCTGAGTTTCAAAGCTCAGACCCTAAAGTGAGGACCTGACACAAGCTGATTTTAAGTCCTATGGGGAATAAGAGAGCAACACGGGGGCGTAGATATGAGTCAGTATTGGAGTGGTGGCAACCTTCAACATAGGGCCTCCTTGAAGCAACGCCCAGAGACCTTAGCACTTTCCTACAAAAAGAAATCCTTCTGAATCCAAAGTTGTGTTACAGCATAGAGAAGGCCGCCACAGCACTGAACCACACCAGATTCTTGAGTCCCGAGGACCCAGCAACCCTGAAGGTGTCTACCAAGAAGGAAGCTTTGGGCCACCATCCATCCAGCTAAGGGCTGCTCTTTCTAAAGCCCCCAGACTGGCTGGGTAGGAGTGAAGATCGTCTCTTGCTTTTCTCTCAGGATGAGGTGCTGATGATCCAGGAGGCCAAAAGAGAGTGCCGGGGAGCATGGTACCTCCCTGCCGGGAGAATGGAAGTCGGGGAGACCATCGTGGAGGCGATGCAACGGGAGGTGAAGGAGGAGGCTGGGCTGCTGTGTGAGCCGGTGACCCTGCTGTCTGTGGAGGAGCGGGGTGCCGCCTGGATCCGCTTTGTATTCCTTGCCCGACCCACAGGTACAACCCACCTGGTGACATTCGGGCACTTCCTCTGTTTGTTCTCCCAAGCCAGCCATACTGTGGCTTCTGTAAATTGCCATTGACCCATTACAGGCTGAGAGCTTGGGGAGGAAGGGGTCCTCCACCTGGAATGTTTGGGTGGCCCCTTTTCTTTCTCAGACTAAACACTTCTCATGCTGGCTCTCTCCTCATCCCCCCAAATCTCCCCTAGGTGGAGTTCTCAAGACTTCCAAGGATGCAGATGCTGAGTCCCTACAGGCTGGCTGGTACCCACGGGTCTCCCTGCCCACTCCACTTAGAGCCCATGATGTTCTGCACCTGGTAGAGCTGGGTGCCAAATTCTGCCAACAAGCCATGCACCCTCACACTCTGCCTCAAGAGCTTCCCTGCAGTGTGGTCTGCCAGCGGCTGGTGGCCACCTTTACAACAGTCCAGTCAGTGTGGGTGTTGGTGGGCTCAGTGGGGACACCTCACTTGCCCATCACTGCCTGTGGCTTCACCCCTATGGAGCAAAGGGGTGGCGTCAAGGTGGCCATCCTGCGGCTGCTACAGGAGTGCCTGACTCTCCACAATCTGGCCGTGGAGACCAAGGGGTTGCTTGGATTGCAGCACCTGGGCAGAGACCACGCGGATGGAATCTGCCTGAATGTGCTAGTGGCAGTGGCTTTTCGGAACCCAGGAATCCAAGATGAGCCCCCAAAGATTCGGGGTGAGAACTACTTTTGGTGGAAAGTTTTAGAGGAAGACTTACAAAAACAGCTTCTACACAGACTCCAGGAATCTTCCGTCATCCCCCTGAGCAGATAGAGAGGCACCGGCAGTGACAGCTGAGCAACCACCCTCCCTCTGTGGGCTGGAAAGAGGCTGGCAATCAGAGATAGAGATCTCACTGCACTGTGTGCAGGGACCCCACATGGAGCCCAAGGGGAGAGTGCCTTGAGGGTTACCATTGTTCTTAGGGTACAGAATGCTTCTCTCAAGATGGTGAGGAGCTTTTTGAACCCCAAACGGCATCATCTTATTTCTTTGTCCACTTTGGTAAAAGTCGCATGTTGATCCATCCAAGCCCTTAGGAATGTAGAAGGGGCTGGGACATGGCGGACTCGTCCTTCAGGGCAGAGCCCTCACTGCTGAGTAAAAAGGTGTTGTTTAACTTGCCTCCTTGCCTAAATGTGTGGAGGGAGAAGATGTGGGGCCACTGTCCCACCCCCAGTCATCCAGGTCTTTCCTCCTGATATGCACACTGTTGTTATGCAGGGGTGTAGGGCTCCTAGGTTAGGCAGCGCTGTTGACTGAAGCCTCAACCCACCCAGGCTCTCTTTAGCCTTTCTGTCCTGCTGGGGTAGGTGTGGGTCACTTTGAAGTGACCACACCCCTAATAAAAACACAGCTCAGACCTGTCCAAGTGTTGGAACAGTTTGGTCTGGTGAAATTGCGTGTGGGGACAAGAAAGAACTGAGAATGACACCTTGGCCTCTCAGCCCAAGCTTCCTTCTCTTTGAGCTTCAGGACTCTATTTTTTGTTTGTTTGGTTTGGTTGGTTTTGGTTTTTCGAGACAGGGTTTCCCTGTGTATCTTTGGCTGTCCTGGAACTCACTGTGTAGACCTGGCTGACCTTGAACTCAGAGAGATCTTCCTGCCTCTGCCTCCTGAGGGCTGGGATTAAAGGTGTGCACCACCACCACCCAGCTGCCCGGTGACTTTGTAGTTTTGTTCAGGCCCTTTCCACAGTTCATGTAGCCCAGACTGACCATGAACTCTTATAATGTAGCTGGGGTTGTCACTGAATTTTGATCATCCTATGTCTGCAGAACTTAAGCACTTTACCAACTGGTTTGCATTCCCAGTCCTTAGCAGGATTTTGTTTTCTTGAGAAGGAATCCACTCATATAGACCAGGCTATCCTCAAATTTGTTGTGATATGCCCACCTCTGATTCTTGAGTCCTAGGAATACAGATGTGCTTCAGCATGCCAAGTGTCATAGTATATTATTATTGCTATTTTACTACTATATTTGATGAAAACTTAGAGGCTGGAGAGATGGCTCAGCCCTGAAAAGCACATACTGTTCTTGCAGAGGACCTGAGTTCAGTTCCCAGCTTTCACACTAAGTGGCTCATAACCACCTATAACTCCAGCTCCAGGTGATCCAACCTCCTCTCTGACCTTTGTGGACACTGTAACTCCATGTGCACATACCCCTCTATAGACACACACAATTAAAAATAAAAATACTGAATAAAAGCCAAAAGCAGTGGGGCAAAGGAAATGCCATCATGTGTTGCTAATCATTGGAGACCCACTTGCCTCTGCATCTACTGGGTGCACCACCACCACCCTGCTGGTAGGGCATGCCTTTAATCCTAATATTCAGGAGGCAGAGGCAAGAGGATCTCTATGAGTTCGAGGCCAGTCTGGTTTATATATATATCTACATATATATAGCAACTTCCAGGACAGCCAGGACTACAAAGAAAGACTCTGTTTCAAAAGAGTAGAACAAGAAAAATGATAAAAGTTGTTTCTATTTTTTTCATTTTTGTGGTGCTGCAAGTTGAGTTCAGGGTCTCACACGTGCTAGGTAAGCAGGTTACCTAATGGTCCCAACTAGCGCCAAAACCCTTTTATTCAGCTCAGTGCCCCTCCTCCAGTTCCTGCACAGAGAAGGGCTAATTAGCCTGGTAATTTTCAATCCTGGGTACACATCACCGTCACCCAGAGAGCTCTCAGACAATGCTGTCCACCCACTATACTGACTAAGCTGCTGAAGGCAGCTGGGCGCTGGCCTTTTTATTTGTATTTGTGTGTGTGCACACATGCGTGCTCATGTGCAGAAGCCAGAGGAGGATGCTGGGGAGTCCTACTCTGTCAATTTCCACTTTATTCCCTTGAGACAGGTCTCTCATTGAAACTGGAGCTAGGCTGGCACCCAGCAAGTCCCAGCGATCCTGTCTTTTCCCACAGTACTAGGGCTCTAATGTGTATATAGACGGACCTCACTTTTTTTTTTTTACAGGAATGCTGAGAACTCAAACTCATGTCTTTGTGAACGGTTTCTCTCACCCACTGAACCATCTCCCCAGCCTGGCACCAATATCGCAAAAAGAAACCTAGAACTGGTTCCCAACCTTTCTAATGCTGCAATCCAGTTCCTCATTCATGTTGTGCTGACCCCCAACCATAGAGTTACTTCATTGCTACCTCGTAAGTGTAATTCCACTACTGTTAGGAATTATAAGGTAAATACCTGCTTTCCAGTGGTCTGAGGTGACCCCTGTGGAAGGGTTGCTGGGCCTCCAAAGGGATCTTGACCCACCAGTTGAAAACCGCTGGCCTAGATTTATTCTTGAAAGACTGTTTTAAGATTTTGTTTTAATTATGTGTGTATGTCTCTATGCGTGAGTATGTGCACGTCAGTATAGTGCCCTCTGAGGCCTGAGCCATCAGATCCCCTGGAGCTGGAGTCAAAGGCAGCTAAAGGCTGCCTAACTAACGTTGGTGCTGGGAACCAAACCCAGGACCTCTGCAAGAGCAGTGAGTGTGTTCTTAACTAGTTCCCACCTCTCCTGGTGATTCTCCCACGTACCACTGGAGCCCTGCTGCAGCCTGCTTCTCCAGTCTGATTGCCTGACCTCTAGTACTCCCGATGATTCAGAAAACCCATTTCCATACCACTTTTCCCCTTAAGACGAAGCTGGGAGTTGGACATCATGGTACACATTTGTAACTTCAGCACTCAGGAGGATGAGACAGAGAATTACCATCCTGTTCAAAGCCTGTCTGGGACCATGGCCCTTTCTCAAAAACTCCAACCCACCAAACTAACATAAAAAGCCGTGTTAAGGATTGTGAACCCACGGGTTTTAGGCATGATAAATAAGCACTCTGTGTTGTTGAGACAAAGTTTCTCTGTGGAGCCCTGGCTGTCCTGGAACGCTCTGTAGACCAGGTTGGCCTCAGAGATCCGCCTGTCTCTGCCTCCCGAGTACTGGGATTAAAGGCATGCACCACCACTTCCCAGCTAATTAAGCAATCTTGTCTCTGACCTATACCTTCAAATCCTCTCTCCAAACCAAGTTTTAATCAATCCCAATCCTGACTGACGTGGTCAAACAGCACACAGCAACACACAAGATGAGACTTGCGTCCATGCACTCCCACCGCCTGACGACTCTTGCCGGAAGGCTCAGTTGGAGGTGAAGCGAATTGAAACAATGTTACTCAGCCAAGAGTCAGTTCCGGGCTGGTGTCTGAGGAGTATCAAATTTGCAATGTCAGAACTCACTACCTCCCACCTCCAGGGCTGGAAAAGGAATTGAGTTTGTCTTGGTTGGGGTGAAAGGGGCAGAAAAGACAAGCAGACTGAGGAAAGGTCATCGTGTCCACACAATCACACTGTTTATTGCTGCGCTGTTGTGAAGACACCATGCAAATGCCAAAGTGCATTACTGCCCAGACCCTTGAACGGTAAGAATCTCAGAGCACAGACCCACTCCACCAAGATCTACTCCCACACCAGCACCCATGTACCCTGACATACACACACAGCTTGAACACACAGGAGCACATGATGTTCTTCCGAGCAGCAGACAAGTCCTCCCCCGCTGGGAGGAATTCGGGAGAGGTAGAGGTCATTGAGTTTCCTCCTCTTTCATGTCACCTCCTGGCAACCTGTGCCCGGCTTCGAGAGGCGGCATGGGCAGGAAAAGGAAGCAAAAGGGGCTCTGGCTTGCTCCTCCTTGCCCAGGAGCGAAGCCAACAACTGCAGGCCTGTTGTGAGGTAATGCCTGGCGCCGCCCGTGTGTTCTTGCAGGTTGAGACAGATTCAGGCCGGGTGGGGTGGCAGCCCCAGCCATGGAGGACACACGAAGAACAATAGCAGAGCTATCTGCTTGTGTCTCGGTCTCTTCTCACTAGGCCTCAGGGGTCTGCAGTTGGGGTGCCCTATCCTATCTGTACCTTGAGTGCCTGTGCTCCCCCAGGAATGCATTTCGCTGGGATCCCTGGGTCCTGGGCAGGATTCGGAGGACAAGGCCCACCACCCCTGGTCAATAACCTCTCTGCCCAGGTGTTGCGGACTTGCTAAGACGGGTTCAGAAGGCGCCAGAGAGGAACCAGCTGGAGCTGGAGCCTGGCACCTAGCTCCCAGGCCCTCGCCTGCCCTGGCTGCAGCTGTGCCAAGGCTCTTGTTAGCAGCTGCCCCCGCCTGGGCGCGGAGCACGCTTTGGGCATCTGCCATGAGGCAGTTGGGTATTTTGCAACAGTCTCCAGGAGGGCAGAGCTGGAAGAGGGGGCTTCCCCTCAGTCCCCTTGTCTTCTTCACTGCTGTTCACACCACGGAAGCCATGAAGAAACCTACCGAGTCTTCAGCAGCTTCCATGATACCTAATGTGACAGACAGGGCTCTTGGCCCCTGTTTCTCCAGACTGGATGTCTAGCAAGCCTCAAAGGCAACGGTTCATTTCCCTTGCCCCTAGAGTTGTCTCATGTTGTGGCCCTGGTCACAGTATAGCAGGATAGTCGCACAACACATGCAGGGCAGGGTCTCGATGCTCGCTGGCCATCCTCCAGCTGCCCCAAGAAGGCCCTAAGAACACCACCGCCTTAGAAGCCAGCTCTTTGCCGTGCGACACCACCCTGAAACCTCAGCTCACGTGGTCAACAGGTGAGGTCTCCTGCAGCTGAAGCCCCCAGTCTGGAGGACAGAGCGGCAGCATGGCCAGGCAGGAAGCCGCCCATGGGCAGAAGTACAGACAGGAGTCTTCCCCCGCCCATCACGCTCCTGGCTCAGACTTGCCCTTCCGGGGGAGGAGAGAAGTTCAGGTAAGGACCATGTGGGGGAAACTTGACAAATGCAATGGCAGCCAGCTCCTTGCAGAATTCCTCAAGTACTACCACGCCCTGGAGTAGGGTCTGATGGTCCAGGCTGAGGAGAGACAGTGGAGGGGAGATGGCATAGCAGGGAGTCAGCAGGTGTGCAGACGGCATGACAGCCCACGTCCACAAGGCTTGACCCAGGAGTCTCCTCAATGCTCCTGTCCTAACCCTGGACACACACTTCCCTTGTTCACTTACTGTTCTCCGGGAATCTGGCCCATCAGTTGCTTGCGCACCAGGAGCAGTTTGCCCGGAAACTGGGGTACCCTCTGAATTCTCTGCATTAAGTCCCCGATCACCTAGAGTCCAGAAAGGACAAAGATGAGAACGGACCATGTCCCACAGCTGCCCCTGGCTCTACCATCCCACAGGAGGTGAGAGACGGGATTGGGAAGCCTGGGCTCTTCCTGGCACGGGTACGGGTGCCTACTTCTCCATTCCCACCCCTAGCCCTGCTCCGTTCCTCCCGTCACACCCTCATCCTTACCCTGACAAGCACAGAGAACAGACTCCTGCAGCCAG